GTGTGGGGCGTGTAGTGCAAAAACGTGCGGGAGGGGTGAGGGGGGGGAGGGTGGGCGTGAGCCGGCTCTACAGGGAACAAAGCATTTCGCTCAGCATGAGACACGTGCTGCAAGAGTGCTTCTGTCTGCAGGCTCATAATAATATTTCCATACAGCTTTGAAATGTTAAAAATATCACACTGCTTCACTATCACGTCTCCTGCTGGCACTGATGTGGGCCACCTGAACTGAAAATGTCGGGCCTGCTGGGCACTGGAGGCGAGCATCACCAGGCAAACACTGCCAACGACTCACGCACGTCAGCAGGACCAGCGCGACCTCAACGTGACCTCCGGACCTACCGCTCCACGCACTCCTTCACCACGGCGAAGTTGCCATCTCCGATGACCTTCCCAACCTTGTACTTGTCCAGGATGGCCGAGGAGGTCTGCACAGTGTTTCCATTCACTGCTGACGAGAGACCATGGTTTGGACCTGCCGCTCAGCCGGACGTATGCATATACAGCTCCTCCTGCTGGTCACTCGACTGCCCCCCCCCCCCCACACTTGCAAATGCATCTCATAGCAGGGGGGATTTCTTATTGCCCCCGTTGGTCTGGGGGCCTCCTGGGCCGGGCCAGGTCTGACTGGGTGAGAATCGGACCATGCACAGGGCCTGCTGAGCTCGTGGGTCACGTGACATTACCTTCTGGGCTTAAGTCTTCAGTCTCATCCGCAGCCCGGTTCACGCTGGAGGTGGAGATGCGATGCGGGGAGAGCTGGGAAGAGAGATACGGATGCCAAACCAAACCTCCGGATGGAAAGAGCCGGAATCTGTGTCACGGTGACCAAGCAAGGTGAAGGATCTAGGCTGGTGTGACACTGGGGGCGAGCGACCGCTCAGACCGCTACACAGCTGCAAGCGGCGCAAACTAAAATATTTCATTAAAATAGTACTGCAGACATTATTCATGTGTCCACATCCATAAGCAGACACATTAAATCCCTCCTGTTTGTTTTATATGCTGAATCAGTCGGACAATCCCTGACCCTCCTACCTACAGAATCGCCACCTAGTGGTGGCCAGCTTACCCTGCGGCTCAGCATGCTGCTGCTGGGGCTGGGGGAGTTGGTCGGCCTGGTTGGAGACCTCTGACTGGCACCTGGAGTGGGGGAGTGGGGGGGGCAGTAGGACAATATCTCAATAGCTCTTAAAAGATAATATTATTCCAGAATAGCAGCTGTGTTACATTTTAACTAAATGAGGATATTTCACCATTATATGGAAGCATGAAACGTAAAATATAGGGATCATTATTCTGAAGTGTTTATGTTTCCCTGTAGATGAAAATACTTCAGTACACAGGAAACGAGGTCAAGTTCAGCCTGTCTGTACACAGGAAATGAGGTCATATTCAGTCTGTCTATACACAGGAAATGAGGTCATGCCATGTCTTTCCAATCACCAACCTAGGAGACGAGTACAACTGACACACGTCAGGCCACACATTTTCTGTGTTAACCTTTGGGAGGCGCTGTGTGGTTTACAGGCATCTGGAAGTGTGTAGGGCAGCAAACAGAGCATTACTAATGGGTCACGGTTGGGTTCGCCCATCTCCACAGGGAGAAGGCTGTACTTTCAGCTGTTGGCCGGCCAGCTGGTTTGACAGTGCCCCCTGCTGGCTCGCTCTGGCAAAGCACACGGCTGGACACAGTCGGATGCGGTGGCAGGGGAGTGAGGAGTCTGTCTAAAACTGTCCACCATAATGAAGCACGGATGAGGAATCACAGTCACTTATCTGCTCTCTTAATAAATGCTTTCTCTATTAATTACTGACGGTGCATGAACACTTACGGACCTAACAGACTGTGTGGGAAAAGCCAAAGAAATGACTGGAGAAAGCCTGGAGAAACGCCAGTGTCAGCTTGGCATCGCGTTATTTTCGGCGGTGCTGAAGATAGAGAGGCGACCTGACCGCCTGCACCCACCACTGGGCTCCCATTCCGCCCCCCCCCCTCTCTCTCATTCAGGAGAGAACCATCTCACCATTACGCTGCAAAGTCTCACCTCGTAAGTTTAACATAATTAGCAAGCACTGTCTGCACATCCTACCACCTCGGGGTTTAGGGTTACCTCAGCCATGAATTGTTTATTAGGACGTCTGAGCGACAACACAAGCCTTTAAGAAAGCAGAGCTCATTTCAGGTCCGGTTTCAGCAAAACATCTCTCAGCTCATGAAGCTCAACAAATCTTCCTCTTTCAGGAAAAATAAAAGAATGGCGAGTGGCAGATCTGAGAGACGGCCTGTGTGAATGAGGCAGCCCAGACTCACAGCTCACCTGGGCAGCCCAGACTCACAGCTCAGACTCACAGCTCACCTGGGCAGCCCAGACTCACAGCTCAGACTCACAGCTCACCTGGGCAGCCCAGACTCACAGCTCAGACTCACAGCTCACCTGGGCAGCTCAGACTCACAGCTCACCTGGGTAGCTCAGACTCACAGCTCAGACTCACAGCTCACCTGGGCAGCCCAGACTCATCGGCACAGGGCTCTGAAGGTCTGAGCGTAGCATCTTATGGGAATGTGATGTAAATATGGCGACAATGGAGGGTTAGGAAACGCGACTCATATCGTCCGTACCTGTGGCCGGGGGCTTGTTCCGGCGCTGCAGACTTGGGCTCTTGGGCCCGGACGGCCTTGGAGCATTGGATGAGGACTTCAGCCCTCGGCACTCTGCGGAAAAGAGGAAGGGGAGCATCAAGGCAGATACGAGCCGCGGCAAACCGGCTGGGAAGTGTCTCCTCTGTACCATGTTCTAGCACATTCCTCCTGACGCCCAGGTTCACCTCATCCTCACTGTGTCCCCTGACACCCCCCCACAGCCTGAACTCTCCTCTTGGCCCCCCTGACAAGCCCCCAGCCTTTGACGGGACAGCAGAGTCACTTTCTGCATTTCAATGGCTTCCGGACTGAGCTGAGGAAAAGCGCCAGGCCGGAGTCTCAGAGAGAGGAGCAAGAAGGAGGGAGAAAAAGCACCGGAGGAAGACTGAGAATGAAGATGAAGAGCAGAGCAGCCTTGCAGATGGGGTAGGGTGACCAGATAATCCATGTCAGGGAGGACACTTGGAGCTACTTCGGGTTTTACAAACTACTTTCAAACTGAAAGGTTCCTGTGCTCGCCTTAGTAGATCAGCTCTTCTTGCGCTTTGATTGGTTTGTTTCCTTGACTGAAAGACTCATCCAGCTGTTTCATATTAGCATTAGTGACACATGCATGCTTATAGGAGACTGACCAATCGGCACACAGCAAGAACTCAGTGCTCAAATGAAATCCAGGTCCGTTTAATTGAAATGGTAATTTACAATTCCTGCCCTAGCTCAGAGTGTCCTCCCTGACAAAGATTATCTGGTCACCCTAAGATGGGAGGACTGCCAGCAGCTCCTACAGCACCTAGAAACAGCATAAGGGTGGAACCACAGACTCAGCTCAGCTCTCAACAGCCTCGTACAGCCAGGAAAACTGTATACACCAGACAGGACACTGAGAGACCCACTACCCCTCCGTGCAGTCAGGGGTCAGGGAATAAGCTGGAGGCCGGCCCGAAGGATTAAACCCACTCATCCACACTGCTGGTGCGGCACAGGATTGGCTCGTCACCTGTCCACTCCTCCATGCAATGACAGCTTTCTCACTGACTGTCTTCAGAAACATAAACACGCCACTGGAAGCTGCCAGCTTCGCCTTCTTCCTGGTTGCTGAGGCCTTCAGTGACTGACAGCTGGCTTTTAAAAGAGGTATTTCAAATGCGCGTGATGGCAGGGGGCCTTGCTGACGGTTCAGCACGCCGACACCCTGACGAATGTTTCTGGGCACATAGGTGGCGTCTGCCCAACAAAAAGGATGGAGATGAATAAAGAATGAAGGCAGAAGGTGGAGAGTGAACTTGGATACTGGTATAGACCCCCTCACTGCGTTTAGTAGCTGGAGAATACCTTGGTCTGCCCAGAGACCACATCCTAAACCAGCTACAATACCAACTGGAACACGTAAATGCAGCCTCCTGCCCCGGCCTCAGGGGGGCGCTATGTATCCACGGCTGCCTGCCCTGCCACGTGCTGCTCATTTATAGGACGTGTCAGCAGCACCACATACCAAATACAGCTACTAAACCAGGAGCTTGTGTGTGAATCAATGATTTTCTCATGAAAACCCTCAAGGTAAGGGTGGTGCAGTTACACTGGAGGGGTGGGGACTTTGAGAAGGGGAGGTGCAGTTACACTGGAGGGGTGGGAATTTGAGATGGGGTGGTGCAGTTACACTGGAGGGGTGGGCACTGTGAGGAGGGGAAGTACAGTTACACTGGAGGGGTGGGCACTGTGAGGAGGGGAAGTACAGTTACACTGGAGGGGTGGGAACTTTGAGGAAGAGTGGTGCAATGTATGGATGGATAATTATGGACAGATTAATGCATGGATGGATGGAAGACACTCTGGGAAAAACAAACATGGAACTTGGTCCTCCAACGAAAAGTATTTTAACAGAGCAGGCAGCCAGTGTGTGGAAGCCAGACCATTTGACAGAACCAAAGGATGCAGAAGTATGGAGGTGGAGTAACGGCAGACGTACCGCTCACAAAGCTAGCAGAGGCCTTGCCACTGAGATCGAGTCCGAAATCATCTTGAGCATAGCGGTATTTCTCAGGACCACAGGCAATGAAGACATCGTCACCTCCAAAGAAGTCCTGCAGACAGGTGATCTGGAAAAAAGAAGGCAGAGAGGAAAATTCTGAAGAGAAGAGAATCTCACTAATCTCTACTCTTAAACCAAGATGTTATCCATGTAGCACAGGGCATGTGTGAGTCCACCACAGGGCACGGGGATGGGGTACACCCTGGAGGGGATGCCAGTCCATCACAGGGCACGGGGATGGGGTACACCCTGGACGGGATGCCAGTCCATCACAGGGCACGGGGATGGGGTAGACCCTGGAGGGGATGTCGGTCACGGGGCTGGGGTACACCCTGGACGGGATTTGAGTCCACCACGGGGCACGGGGATGGGGTACACCCTGGAGGGGATGTGAGTCCACCACGGGGCACGGGGATGGGGTACACCCTGGAGGGGATGTGAGTCCACCACGGGTCACGGGGATGGGGTACACCCTGGAGGGGATGTGAGTCCACCACGAGGCACAGGGCTGAGGTACACCCTGGATGGGATGCCAGTCCATCACAGGGCACGGGGTCGGGGTACACCCTAGATGGGATCATAAATGGAAATCATAAACATTACCCATAATCCTCTTCTCACCATGCCCACACCGAGTCAGGATGTGTAGACCCCGCCCCCTGCATGCCGCCCTGGGGCATCTTTGTCACATACCCGCTGTTATAAACTCATCGGCTGATGAGATGCAGAGTCATTCAGAAGCATCGTAACCGGGGGGAGGCTGGGGCAGCCCCGCAAATCCATTTAAACACAGGAGCACCATCCCAACCAATCAGCATCTTGCAGGGAACTCTGGGAGCATTCTGCGTGATCTGATTCATGCAGCTCTACCTGCTATCCTCAGAACTGCCGCCATGTGGGCAGAAGACGCAGCCTGTTAGCGCAGCGGAGATCTGGTCAGCTTTGGTTTAGAGGAGACGGGAATGGCATGGTCACAGGCATCCTGGTCAGTGTTTCCAGGGAGAGACTAAGAAGAACCGGAGCTCAAGAAAGAAAACCCAGCAACACTGAAACCAGGCACCCGGAACGTTCCTTCAGGGCTGACCAATTACCACTGATGCTGAGAGACAACGCGAGGTTAACCCGGAACTCTAATAGCCAAAAATATAGCCAGGCAGCATGTACAAAGGCGGGGGGGGGGGCTTTTTCTTTTCTCTGAAAGCAAATCCCTCTTTCGGAGGGGGGGAGCTTCCTCTGGTACGAGCCACATGGAATACAAATGAAGCCACGCTTCTCAGCGTGATCGTTTAGTGGGGTGCGTACAGGCGGTGGCGTTGCCATGGCAGCAGGGTGCCAGGCAGTGCTCCGTAAGCGGGCGGGGGAGGGCCGCGATAATTACCCATGCAGAGGCACTCCTAAATTGGAGTATCGTCACAGCAATGCTCGCTTTCGTGAGCGGGGGACGGACGTGGGCCTGGTGCCCCCCTTCCCCCATGACTGTGTGTTATTACGCTCATCCATCGAGGGGAGGCTGTCAGACCCTTCCAGAACTTTTTATTTAAAGCCCTTATCCGTCCTGGTTCACAGTGGGGTGGGGGGGGGGTTACAGGTTGGGACCTATGTGTAAGAAGAGCCTAGGGCCAGTTTGGATGCAGCAGTGTGCCTTTCGGACTGCAGGACTATCCAGGGTTATCCCAGCTAAACACGCTCAGGGCAGGAATCGAACCTACAGTCCTGGAGGTGTGAGGCTTCAGTCATATCCACCTGGTATGCATCACTTGATGAAAATGACATAGAACAACAATTTACAAGCTAAACAGGGGTCGCTTGACCTCTGCCTATAACCTGAGGGGACTCGAAGGCGAGCAGACTGTAGGCCAGCCACCGATCACAGGACGCACTCCTGATAAGACTGAGGAGGACTGAACACATGTGTGTTCAGCTGCAGACCACAGACCCTCATGATTATCCCTAACACAGGCGGGACAGCTTAGTCTTCTAACTGAAAATGTCTGTGGATTAGACTGGCTTTAAAAATATATTTAGTGCTTTTTTCGATTGTCATTAAATCCCCAGTGAGATCAGAGCTTGTTTCTTCTAGCGCTTGGTGTTTCTTTTCGCAGACACCTCAGCAATGTGTCACAGTGTCACAGTGTCACTGCAGAACAAACCTTATGCTGGAAACTTCAATTCACTGAGCACTTCACATTTCAGAGGCTTTAGGCAGTAAAAGGCAGTTTCAGGGCCATGAGACGGGTCCTAAGTGCCAGAAGGGAATGACACAAGCACAGATTCATGCATGAGACTGCGGCCTGATCCTGCGAGTGTCAGTTAAACCCGACTGTGGCAGTACATCACAGAAAGGGGGCAGCAGGGAGCACCCAACACTGCCAGCCCTCATTGTTCTCCCGTGAAGGAGACCATGAGCTCGGCTTCCCCACTGCATGAATGACACTGTAGCCGCTGCACTGCAGAGGGATGGGGCCAGAAGGTTCTGTGGGACCTCAATGCTGGGCCACTTCTCTGCATGAAGTGGGAGTGTGTTCAGGGGGTGTGTTGGCAGGGTGGGGGGGAGGGGGGGGCAGTGATACAGACTGAGCCGTGTGATTATCATCAGCATTACTGGTCTCACTGCTAATTATTACCCTGGCAACCTGGGCCTGTAGAGAGACAGGAGTGTGAATTAACAATGAATCAGCCTCATTCTGATAAAAATCACACTGAAGCCTCAATCAGACCGACTGCTACGACAGACTGAATAAAGACTGACAAGCAGACTAAGCAAAGACCGACCCACTACAATAGACTAGGTAAAGACCAACCTGTTACGACAGACTGAGTAAAGTCTGACCCGCTACAATACATTAGGTAAAGACCAACCGGCTACAACAGACTGAGTAAAGACTAACAAGCAAAGACACACTGATAAAAGACCGACCTGCTACGACAGACTGAGTAAAGACCAACCCACTACAACGGACTGAGTAAAGACTGACAAGCAAAGACAGAGTGAGCAAAGATCGACCCACTACGACAGACTGACTAAAGACTGACAAGCAAAGACAGACTGAGCAAAGATCAACATGCTACAACAGACTGAGTAAAGACCGACCTGCTACGACAGATTAGGTAAAGACCGACCCGCTATGATGGAGTGAGTAAAGACTGACAAGCAAAGACAGACTGAGCAAAGCCCGACCCACTACGATAGACTGAGAGAAGACTGACCCACTACAATGAATTAGGTAAAGATCGACCCGCTATGACGGACTGAGTAAAGAATTACATGCAAAGACAGTCTGAACAAAGACCGACCTGCTACGGCAGACTGAGTAAACACAGACAAGCTACAACAGACTGAATAAAGACCAACAAGCAGGATTTGTGCGTTAGATTTACCCAATTGTCCACTTCCCTGACTGGTTGGAAGCTTCAGGAATCCCCGTGACTGCACCTCACACTTTCCTCCATCTACCCCCACAGCTTACAGGTTTTATATAGAGTGTTTACAGTAAAAGCCACTTACAAGGAGCCATTATCGCACGTTATTCATGGGCGACGGCACAGAGCGGCCCCCACCCAGGGTGCCAGGCCCCACCCTGTGTCCCGGCTCTCTGTCGCCCTCATCTCACAGGGTCTTTTGTGAAAGTTGTAGGTCTGCCCTGTAACAGTTAGAATTTTCTGGAATTTAGTTGTTTTCCCTCTGTTGTGAGGAGTAAATCTGCAGAAAATATATTGCAGACATATAGACACACACGCATACATTTGATCAGGATTAAATTAAAAACCTAAAGGATTCACGTTAATTATGTTTTTATAAACAACAATGTTCCACTTCAGAAACGTTGTTTAAATATATAATTTTGTAATGAGCACTTATCTGTGAGACTGTGGCAGATGTACTTCTGGAGTACTGGAGTTTGAACACCACATGCAGATCTGACCCCGTCACCCGCCCCAAAACACACATACATCCTGGAGGACACAGTGAAGCTTAACATAGCATCATGACCCCGGTTGTCTCGACATCACATAAAGAATGAAGCTGGAACGGTCAGGAAGGCACACTAACCCTGAGAGGGAGCTTCCCCGACAGCAAAACTGTGCTAAACAGCGGCATTTCCATGCCAATACATGAGGTCGTGGCCTTCAGCTCCTCTGATGTCATTTCCTGTCCCTGCTCTGGGCTCATGCTAATTGAGATGTGGAATCTCTGGTAATTTAATAAAAGCAGATGAGATGATACAATGGGCCGGGATAAGAAAGCCGGAAGCGTAGCGGCAGAACATGCTCACACCCTGGTAAGTTCACACACAAACACACACCCTCTGAATGAAGCCCCAGACCAGTCAGTCTTCCTGGAAATAAGGTGACCTCACAGCCTAAAGCTGGCTTACAGGCAGATGGGTAACGACGGTCCCCCCTCCCAGCCTGACTGTAGCCGGTATGTCCCAAAGGATCAGGGCTCTGCCGTTTTACGGGTTTTCTGAATGTACTGTGTTCTGAAGGTACTAGCAGGAGCGCTGTGCTGTTTAGACCGTTTTTAAAAAAGCCAAACCAAAAGAGGCACTAAAAAGGTCACCCAGGTCGAGATGCACACACTCAAGTGTTATCCTAACCATTTTCCATGCGACAAAAGTAATTATGGGACACTGACATGGTAACCCGCTCAGATCATGGCAGGTGACACCAATGATTTATGGACGGGCAGTTATATGAGTGTACAGGACAGCGAGGGCCCCAAATCCCCATCACCCTGCTTAGGCGTGAGCGGTAATCAGGTTCCCTCTCAGACCTCGGACAAGCGAAGGGCGTCAGCCGTTAAAAAGCTTCTAAATTACAGCGCAGGCCTGACAGGTTGCAACCATCAGCAGCAGTGTGTCTGAGAACGAGCTGATGGTCGCAATGGGAAAGGTGACACCCAGAGCCCGCACGGGACACTGCGCCGAGTCACCGCTTCCGGAGGCTTCTGGGAATGATTCTGAAGAACCGCTTCTAGCCATCAGAGATCACGCTGGGTTGGCATGTCTGGATTTTTAAGAGTCAGAGCTCATTAACGTCAGCTTTAGACGTCAGGCAGAAATCGTTCAAAAAAGCAAATATTAAACAGCGAGATGGCAACAACCAAAAGAGTGCATTACATTACCCAGCTAAAATAGCTAGCCAGCCTTTGTTTACACTGCGGGAGCTGAGGAGGGACTTTTATCTGAGTCCCCCTACAGCCTTGACGAGCCGTCCTGCTAACGCGTGATAGCAGTGACAGCGGGTTTTTTTTCATGCTCACATTAGTTTATCTGCACCAGTGAAATCGGGCTTCATGAACAGAGGTGGGTATTTCAGGTCCAGAGAGTAAAGGTCCAGACTAAGATTTTGCTTAAACCAACCAGCTGAGTATAAAGAATCACAGACTACTCAACTAGTTGGGTGAAACAAAATTTTGGTCTGGACTCTTACTCTTCGGACCTGAGCTGCCAATACCTCTGTTCATGACCCATTGTAGGCGGGACCACGCAGAACTGTCAATCACAGCCCCGTTTCACTCAATAGGAAGCAGTCGTGGTTGCTTGGCTGCAGATGCTCCCATCACTAACAAAAGCCCCCCCCAGACAGTCAGGCAGATTCGGCCTTTACCTGCTTGCCATCCAGAGTATAGAGTCGCTTGACAGGCCCTGAGTCCAGCTTGATGGCCTCTGTGATGTCAGCCAGAACCTGCTCGAAGGAGTGGGCGGTCTTCTTGTTGAGCAGCACGCGCACGGCCTTTCGGGGCTTGACGCCGCCGCGGATCACGGTCACCAGCTTGGGCTTGATGAAGTCCTTGGTGTCGCGCGGCTTGCTGCGGGGCGAGCCCGGGCTGCTGCGGGGTTTTGCCCCCCCCGCCTTCACGTTCACCGACCAGTTGGGGTTGGTGTTCTGGGCGTAGTCCACCTTGCGATATGCCTCATTGGAGGCGCAGACGTAGCTCTCACCTGCAGTGAGGAGGAGGAGCAGAACACCCACCGCTATAAACATAACCATGCAAGCTGCCGTATGACCTCAATGCAAACTCTCAGAACATGATAGCACTAAATACCCACAGAGGTTCCCACAATATACGGACTATATCTAGAGGTACACCACTGTGGAAATTTTGACCGATACCAATAACCGATATATTTGTGTCTCAAATTACCGATAATCAGCGGTGAAAATTGTCAAGTTTGCCGGTGCAGATTAGCGGAATGACGTTGCATCTTTTTTTATTTGGTGTAAAAATGAAAGATCGATCTACTGACCAGAATTATTAATCGATTAAAAACATGTCATAAGCCACATAAAACCATCTCGGGGGCTGATACTTTGTGACCCTCTTCTGAGCAGCAAATAAGCCAACAGAATCCTTCATCCTCCGCTGTGGAAAATGGCCGATTGTCCAATGGGATCATGTCCATCATTTCAATAGTTACGTCTTTAGCTCTGGTGCTGCTGACTTAAAAGTTTAAAGCCAATATGATCTTAGAAAAGAGCAGCCAATAAGAAGAAAGGGCATCGTTTTATTGAACGATATTATAGAGATCCCCTTCCTCCTTCACATAACATCTCAATTCATTTCCTATTTAATAATGCATTAAAAAGCAAAGTCTCTCACAGTCTGCAAGCTTTAAAATACACAATTTAATCCATCTCATTACCCTGAAGAAACTGACCGTTTAGGTATTAATGTGACACAGAGAGAACGACCCACGGATCTCAGAGACACCAAGAAACTGTTTAAGGCTTAATTGGACACAGAGGGAAGGATTCACAGATCTCAGAGACATTCAGGCTCCCTGAAAGGAGAGCTGTGGGACTGCGAGGATCACAGGACGGACCTGCACGCCGCCTCGTAAGCCCTTGCTGAAGACAGCAGCGGAAGCTTCCAGAGAAATGACCTGGCTTCAGCTCAAAACAGGTGTGTCACGGAGAAGTGGATGAAAGCAAAGAAAGGCATTACACAGAAGTGACACCTCACTGTCTGCAGCAGGAAGGTGCAGGAACACATCTGGCGAGTGAGGAAGACCACGTGTGGACGGCTGTCTACTGAGAACATCTGCATCATAGTAAAACTGTAATTAATCCAGACAGCCTCAACCGGTTATGACTGAGACGAATAAACACTGGAACAACAATCAAGTTATACACATCACTCATGTCAAAACTGTACAGTTACTTCAGGTTCAATGTGCAAAACACCTGGCAGGACATTAACGTGAAGGACATGGTGAGGAGCAGGGGCCACCCCTGTGGCTTCTGAAGAGCTCCACTCCTTCTTGGAGAGAGTCCTGTGCAATGGGGCACTTGACTGTCTTTCAAAAGGAGGAGCCTACAGTTCAAGGATGGGTGAAGAACTTGGAGATCTGCTCCGCTCTCAGAACTTCCCATAAAGGATTAATGCTGTTTGGAGTCGGTGTCTGGAATGTCCGACTGGCCAACTGGTGAAACTCCTTCGGAATCTGTTTAGCAGTGAGTATACGGGGGCATTGTGATGAGGGCGCAGTGTCTACATCCACCACAGAGGGCATCAGGCCTCATTGGAAAAAGGTCTCCTATTCCTTAGCTGTTGTATAACTGTGGAGAGTGACCATCAGACTCAATGGCTTCCGGAGGATGGCTGACAATATCAGCAGACATTAGGCTTCCTTGCCCTTTCTCCAAATGTAAACCCACCCAGATGCAGGAGAAAGGGTGGTAAGGACTCCTCAGACCTCGTTACCGCTTTACGCTGCCTGGGGGGTCTGGGCTTCGTACAACTCGCGGCTTAGGCGCGTGGGGACGTGGTTTTCAGAATGGTCCCCTTCTCACAGTAAATAATTACGCAGCTTTTGTAACACGCACCTATGATTCTCTGGCCTCTTGTTGCTCTGAAAACCCGCATATCAAAGTGCCGTTCCTCAGCCGTCCGTTATGGCCGACACCTACTGACAGCTGGCCCCCAGCTTAACGTAAGACCTCAGTAGCTGCGTCTGTAAATCCGATTTACTCACTTCTGATTAAACTCTTTTTCCATGCGGCATTTTATTTTGTCCACCCCGCCATAAATAAATGCAGATATTACTTATACTAACTGCTGCTCAGGTTAATTCTTGTTTTCTCCACTGAACAGCACAAAATATGCACAACATTGTACGTGCTCATGAAACGCTTCAGACTGCAAAGAATGGGAAATAAATCTGAGCATTAAAAATAATCATAATAAATAATAAAAAAAAAATCTCCCGCACTTTCTGCTTGAAGGACTCCTGACATTTCAATACCTGATATTATCTCCTTAATGAATGTCCCTTGTCAATGCCAGCAAAAAGACACCAAGACAAAGCCTTCTGTAATCTACTGTCCCATTTACATCATGCAGTAAGACACCCCATCGGAAAGTCACAGTCTGTGCACGTGCCCCTGTGCAGCCCCCGAAGGCTGGGGCGGAGGGGGGGGGTCCCCGTCGGCCCGCGTGAAACTCCGCATGTGTCTCACGCCTCTAGGTTTCTGAACGATCTCCACCGTGGTTTTCATTCAACAGCTTTGGGTTAGTTCATTATTTAAGGCTCCGCCCTCCCTGCACGCTAATGAGAGGCACCGAGGGAGACCCCCCTACCGTGTGACGAGACATGAATGACAAATCCCACGAAGCAGCGGTGCTGAAAGGCGAATCAGCACAAGCTAACCGCAGCCTCATTAGGAAACACCAGGTAGGGCGATGGCGGTAACGCCAACTATCCCCGCCCCTTGGCACGATTTCCATGGCAGAGATCACACTGAAAATTCGTCTCCATTATTTTGTTTAATTTACATTAACTTTAGTGTAATGCACAATTAATTACGGTCGTAAACGGGGTCAGAACATTTAAACGAGATGTGCCAAAAATATGCGATGAGCCAACAGATGAAACACAAAAGGCAGTGATGTTGCACGTGAGGAATCGGCATGAGATGGTGCCATGTGAAGCCAGTATAAGGCATGAGAGCAGCGGAGAGGCGAGGCTGCGGTGTCCCCGCAAAGCCACCGCCGGGATGTCACCGCCATAGAGCCGTCACACGGTGACCCATCACCCTCATCAGGCACTGAGCCGGGGGGTTAGTAACAGGCGGTGCATCCAACAGGCAGGTCGGTCAAGACCATGCGCCCAGAGGGCCGGGCTGCGCGCCCGTGTTACGAATGCAGTCAGTGACACCCTTATTTTAAAGGCGACCCGATGCCATGCGCCGAGGGACGATGTCTGTGGTCATACTGTACCTTCTACGAAATCGTCCAGGCTGGTTATCTTGCTTGTGCCGTCCAGCGTGTAGATGCAGCGGACGCCCTGGGGCAGGCTGCTGCTGTCCGACAGGGATTTGGTGAGCTCCATGAGCAGCGCGCTGAAGGACCTGAAGCGGTCGCCGGACACCGCGTACGGCAGACCCTTGAAGTATCTGTCCCCATTGCGGTAAAAGCGCACTTTCTTGGCCTTCTTCTCCGAGCTGAGAGCCTGCAGGGTCCGCGTGCGGTAGAAGCTGCAGTTGGCGCTGTGCGCCGGACTCGGTACCAGGCTGCTGCCCCTGGATCCAGCCTGCGAGCCCGAGCCGGTCCGGCGTGAAGCCCGATGCGCCTTGTCCCGCTCGTCAAAGTGCTCCAGTTCTATGGCTGACATTATTGCTTACTGGGGAGAGCGGTATTTGATTAATGGTTTCTCCCAGATATGTGGGTACAGCCCCCTTAAGCAGCCCAGTCTGACGGACGGGATCACCGGGATCGGGGGTAACCGCGTCGCATTAGGAGATCGGCGCTCACACGTCAATGCACATCTTGCTCCTCGCTAATAACAGCCGGAATGATGCCCCAATCATGCAAATGATACAATGCATCCACCGGGCGTAGAGCAGCGTGAAGCCTGTTCATACCTACGTTAACTACAAAAAATGAAAAAACAAAAAACATAAATTCCTCAGTACAGCCCTCCAAACTGCAAAAAGAGGCAAATTCAAAATGCACAATTTATTTATCAGTCGGGAAAAGCTGCAGCCGTCATCGGACGCATTAAATATTGTGTCTCCAGCCTCTTCAGGTATTTTTTGGAAAGAGGAGGCTGCGCATATTGACTGACAGCTGCTTAAGCCGCGGACGCAGCCGCCTCAGCCAAGGCACACCATTCCCGCAGCATATCCTTTCTTTGTTGTCTTTTTTTCCTCGTAGAAATGCAAGGTCCGGGTGAAACGATGCCTAGGGCTGGTGGAGACTAGCAGGAGGAGCGGTTCGCCGAAGCTCCCAGCCTGGCAGCGCAGTCAGCCGAGCCGGATCGCCGGGTAAGCGGCGGGGAAGACCGGCATCTGCGGGGTCCTAAAGACACACCCACGCTGCCTGCATGGCGTCCCTGCTCTAGCAGGATGCACATATTGTCAGTCTGAAAGCCTAGACTGTGAAGCACAGATGCACCGCAGTGTGTTTAATCATTCACCACGCTACCCGGGTGGCTTCAGTGTAGGACTGGTGACTTAAAACGCTTATTTTAGAGGGCGATTCCTTCTCTCATGCGGACTCAGCACAAGACAGTGGCGTGAACTTTATAATTTAAACATAAGGTTTTCATACGTCTCCTTCCAATAAGGAAAAAGGAGAAAAAAAATCACCCCCAGCGCCAGTATCAACACAATACGGCAAAAGACAGCTATACTTGCGAAATATTTGCCATATACGGAAGGTGGGGAACTGAATTAACAAACAAAGCAAGAAATAAAAAGCAACGAATGCAAACCGTTCAGTACAGGGGCGTCGTAGTGGGGGGAAAAAGGGGACTGAGTTACCAGGGCCCCATGTGGGGGGAGGGCCCCTAAGGAATCTGGAATTTTATTTTCCTTTAAATATTAATATTATTCAAAGATCACAATAAATGTTGCTATCTAATATAAATTTAATTTTTGTGGGAAAATAAATCGGTTGACGGATTGAATTGTGTCCTAGCTTACAGTGCCTGAGGACAAGCACCCTCACCCCTTGCAATGGTATAGTCTTCACCGGGCTTTTTAACTAGGCGCATTTAATTTAGCGGTCATTCTGATGAAACAGCTAAATCCGTGTTGGAAGATGATGCCAAAGAAAGCTAAATCCGGTTTTCAAAAAAGAAAAGAGAGGCAGGAAAGAAACAAAAAAATAAATGAGGGAAAGCAACTGCTTAGAAACTTTTTTTCCCAAGAAACGTGAGCCCAAATGTGAAAGCAAATAGCCTACATTAAATGAACTGTGATTATTAAAAACTGAAATACCACCGCGAAATTACACATAGCTTAACATGATGTACTGTAGATAAGTGTATTTTTTTTTGTTTGCTTAACCCCCTGGGTTACACGGCATCGTCGACGACGCCGCGTATCTTTCTCGTCTATTTCAGTTTATATCTCGCTGAAATGTTTGTGTAGAGTCATGGAAAAAACGCTGGCTAAATCTGTAATCTGTCTTCTTTTCAAAATTCCATTGTCGAAGGTATTTAAAGTTTTTAAAATTAGATTAAATCGGCAAAAAGTAAACCATGTCACCTTTCTTTGTTTTACCTGCATGGGGGGCGTGTAGTACCGCCTTCGCGTGAAGATCGCTATTCACATTCTAAACAGCCGCACTTCCGCGTATCCCAGTGAGCACTAACTGGGATATAAGTTTGTGTTTAGCTTTTTGCCCATTGCCATTTTTAAGTGTTTTCTTTTTGCCCTTTTTTCACTCACTAGTCATTTATCTTTCATTATAAATAAAGTAGTTTGTCAATGTGGAAATCTGAAATGGCATTTTTCTTTTATGTAATAATAAAAAATAGGCTACTTGATAAAAAGCTGTTCTCTATAGCCAAATGCAAAAGTGTTCAATTCTCATGCAGGCCTATGATGTTAGGCTACCTTTGGTGACATTTCCTGTTATGGCTTTTAATCATCCTACAAATAAAACCAAATTCCAGTGAAGTCGTGTGATTAGGCTGTTTTTTTTTTGGGGGGGGGGCATAGGCACTGTTTGTGCATAGGGCCCAGAATTTGGTGCTACGCCCCTGTGCCTGTGTTCTGACGAGTTGAGCTCAACTATCGAGACGTGCTATCGAGCCTTTCTGCGCATGTGCAGTTCCATCGTTTTGAGATTGGGATTAGGTTTTAGGGGTTAAGGTAAGGGTTTTAGGGGTTTTTGGGGGGTTAGGGTTAGGGCTATCGATTAGCACTACGGTAGCCTAACTCGACAAAGTAGCTCAACTAGTCAGAACACCGGTGATATCCGGCGCAGATACGTAGTCAGGATTATTAATATTCACGCATCTGGTCAGGTAAAGTTGAATTACTACATATCCAATATAATAATCTATACCACAAGTGTGTCTGCTGGGGTGTGGCATGAGTAAATGGTGTCCTGGGCATACAGGAACTCTGGATATAACGGACTGTTTTGCCAGGTCCCTTGAAGTCACTTATAACAGGATTTTACTGTACTTTGAAGCATAGCTGTCGTGCCCCGATCGTGCTGATCCTTTTGTGTGCCATGCCCCCTCATTAACCCCGTGTTTTTAGCCATTTCTACTTGTGATAATTACTGTGGTGTATATAAGCCCGTGTCTGAGTGCTTTTCCTGAGTCCGGTCATTGACGTCGTTTTATGTTTCCGATTGTTTCTGTGCCGAATAAACCCCGTGTTCACTCGGTTTCCCCGGCTCGTGTGCTGTTTCCCCGCTCCGTGCCAGCGTATTCAAGGCCATAGCTTTCAAGTCAGCAGATGAATTTTCTTTGCTAAAATGTTATAAAGGCATAGGAGTGTAATTGATGTGATTTTTTCGTTTTCTGAGGAAGTTGTATCTACA